AATTAGAACAATATTATAAGGGAATTGAACAGTAAAATAATTAAGTTATATGTCTTCAAAATTTTCATTCATCAATTTTTTTATGAAATTAAGCCCTTGTTTGACCCTCTGTTTTTAAAAATATTTTTTTGTATCTTCTTTTAAATCACGCATTTTTTAATAAAATAATATTATATGCAATCAGAAAACCTTTCCTTCATTTTTAACCATACGTTCTCTATTAATGTATCATTCCAAAATACCTTTTACACAAAAAAAAATGGGGCTCAAACATGTTTATTAATTTAAAACTCAGCAGTAAAATAACAACCAAAAAGTAATATCCAAAATATTTATATTATAATTAAATAATAAGATTTTTGGACATATAATAAAAGAAATATAGTACCAAAATGAAAGAAACGTTTAGGTCTAAAATGATTAAGTAAATGTTAAATATAGTATTTGGTCAATTTTACCTTACTAAACGTGAGGAAAATAAAATAAAAGTTGACAGAATATCAACATTTTATTCGTCATGATTTTTAATTGCGCTTATTCAAAGCAATATCTCAATATTTTTCTAGATAGTTAAAATTTATACTGACAGTCTCATCGTGGACAAATGGTATTCTACCATAACATTCATATAAAATTTTGCTTCTTCAAGAACAATTAAAAAGTATTACTCTAAATGTTAAAATTTATAAAGATTTATTGTTCAGGAGGAATAAAATAATATTCTGAAAAAAAATATTTTAAAAAATTATGATTCTTGAGAGTAAGTAATATTCTACTATAATATTAGTTAACATAATATTAATTGTGCTTCTTCATGAGCAATAATAAATATTTTTTTAATAATTTAATAGATTATAATTTTTTGTTTCTTAGAAATAATTTTATATTCTTCTAGAATAGAAAAAAAAATTATGCCGCTTCAAGAAACATGGCATATTATTTTTTGGGAATATTGATTATAAATTGACTGGTTGCTTGGTGTCATAAAGAAACACCATACATCTTGTTAATGGCTTTGAATTTCGACGGCCCATCGCAATTAATGTGGGTGTTGCGGACTTCTTCAAGTTTGAACATCTCGAACATATATTAGGTGGATTTGAAATCGTTAATCTACAAGAATGTTTTTTACGAGTTATCTAGAATTGTTCGATGCTCATATATAAATTAGTTTAAATATTAAAGAATGTAAGATACGACTAGAGTCTCAAAATAAATAAAACTTTGGTAGTTAATAATTTTAATGAAATTTACTATCCCAAATAAATGTCACAAGTTCAAATAGAATTTCATTTGAGTTATAATCCCAGAAAGAGCTACTTGTAATAATGTCAGTGTTCTAAAAGCGTAAAACGTGGTGAAATATGGGATTGAGCTTTGACATATGCGAAGCGTGGCGTAAAAAAAAGTTTTCCTATTTTAATATTATTTAAAATATGTAAAAAAAATCTAAAATTATTTAATAATTAAAAGAAAAAACGTAAAAAAGCTTTGAAAGGTGTAAAAAAACATTAAAAAGCTCCAAAGCATAAACGCGGGTTAGGCACACCTAGGCATGTAAAAAATAAAAATAAAAGAAAAATGAAAAAGAGCAAAAAAAAAAAAAGGTGAAGAGAGGCATTTTGCTCTCGCTCCGAGCTTAGGCTGTACTTAGACGCCGCTTTTTAAAACACTAAATAATGTACGACCATGGAGAAAGGAGCTACCTATCGCTAAACAACGTGATGCACCGCGTAGTGTCTAACTATCAAGGGGGCGTGCATTTTAGTAACATAATTTATAATATTTATAAGTTGGGATATAGCTTAGTAAATGTATTTGAATCAATTTTTTTTAATATTTGATTCATTTTAATTGTTAATATTTTAAAATATGTAAGTTAATTATTTTGACAATAAATTCTATTTTAAAACATACAATTTTGTACCTTATACGTAAGAAGGTATTTATGAGTTTAGACAGAAATTTTTAAATTGTCTATCTTGTAATTAGGTGTGGACATGGTTCGGGTTGAATTGGGTTGGTTTTAAGCTCAATCCGAAATAGAAATCGACTTTCCAGCTTGAGTAAATTTCAGCTCTAATCAATCCAATCTAATCTTTGAAACTGAGTCAAACCTAGTTAGTCGGTTTGAACATTTATCCGAGTTAAAAAAAAAATTTGCCTACCCAAGATTTAAAAACTCGTTTGCCTATATATAAATTTTTTTTTGCTTGTGTTCTACATGTTAATGATTCATATAATGTAGACGCTAAGTGGTTGGTTTTAAAAAATATCATATATATCCGATAGTTACCAAAAAATAATTATATCAAAATGAAAAGTAAGTCTCAATCTAAATTTGGAGATTACAATAATCAATTATTTTCCTTGTTTTTCTTTTTTTCTTTTTTTTTTGAAATTTGGAGTTTTGGTTTAAAAAAAAACCGTTGACGATAAATAAATTATTTGAGAAAGAATTATATTTATATTTACATTATTTTATTTTTTAAATTTCAAATTATATATTTTAAAATGGAAAACAAAATGTATTAAAATTATTTGAACCAAATCGATTTTTTCGTTCAAACCGCCCCCTACTTGGTTTGGTTTGATCGATTTGATACGTTTTTTGGTTTGGTTTTTTTGGTTCATCCAACAGGGCCACATTTAAAACATAACCTCTTTTCGTGGATAAGCAAATTTTTAAAAATTTGTGCAATTTTTTAACAAAAGAAAATTCATAATTTTCTTTAAAAGTTACCTATTTTTGAAAGCTACAAGTCAAATATATCTACCCGTGGAAGTTGGCTTTTATTGCTCGGCTAAGAAAACATCATAAAGAACGTGGACCGCGGGGTTCAGTGGGTCCAATTACGAATCATCTTGATGCACAATGTTATCTTTTTAATTTTTATGATTTTTTTTTTCTTTAGGTACAAGTAGTATTCAGCTTTATAGAATTGTACTTTTCTTTACGTAGGATATGATGCTTTATTAATTTTAGCAGGCTGTTCTACTTGTTGGCTCTACTTATAATGGACTCTTTAACAATTTGACCCATTGTTTCTTAGGAACTAAGCAATGAGCTGTCTTAGATTATTTAAATATTTTTATTATAGTTTGGCTTTTGTTGGTTCATGGTGTGACATGCAATATAATTCTAGTCATTTTAGGGTATACATAAACTGATTAAAATAAATTATCTATTGAAGTGTATGACGAAATAATCTAAATAGCCAATTAGGTCCAATTGCTAGGAGATGCTCTTCAATTAAGATCTTAAAAAAATCATATTTCTATGATTAAATGTCACTTAATTGACACTTGAACGGCTGATCGTTGACCTTCTACATAGATGATATTGTTCTTTTTGCGATCGAGTACAAGTATTTCTACTTGTCTTTCGGCAACGAGTTTGATAAATTGGTAAGATGAAATAGATTCTGGATATTTTTAGTGAAATTGTATTAAAAAACCTCGTTTTGAAAATTTGTTTTTATTCTCGACAAAAAAAAATTTGTATAAATTTGAAATGAACCTTTAATTCTAGATAAGATAAGATGAGAATACTCTTCCAATTTATTATCACTTTTTTTTTTTGATAATATGTAAGAATATTAATGAGAAACCGGCTTGGACGGTTTGTAATAGAACGAAAATAGAAAAATAAGATGGTAGGTGCCTGCGGCACGGCATCCAAATCGTCTAACTTTATTCACCGTTTATAATTAAAAAATAAAAAAAAAAAAATTAGTCCGCCCACCATTTGCCTAAATATACATTTCCATGGACGGCCGATTAAGACGATAAACATGTAAAAATGTAAGCTGGTTTTGTTGAAAATACTATAGTCAGTTGTTCGGATTAACGTTGAATTTGATTATAAAATTATTGTTTCAATACTGTATTAAGTCATTGTTTGGTAGAGATTAAAATTATATTTTTAATAAATTTTGATACAAGTTGATGAAATGTATGTTGGAAAAGCTATGAATCTCATAAAATATGTGGTTAAAATTAATTGTTAATTTTAATTTAAATTAAAATCTAAATTTTAATCCCTATCAAATATGGACTAAACCTACTGTTAAATCCTTCGAAATTTGATTTACTCGCAATTTGCAACCACAACCAGATGTGTGAACTACAATTAAAAGAAAATGAGCACACTAGTCCTAAACTTTCATTATAGTTATACAAGATTGTCCAAATTTACGTTAAATTTTAATTTTATTTTCTTATGTTAAATCGCAATTATAATTATATGGTTTTGTTGAAATATATTTCTCTAAAGTGTACGGGACATTTCATCGAAAATAATAAGAACGGTAGTATTAGAAGCTGATTTGACTGCCCCATACAAAACTATATAAAAATATTTTGTTCCGGTAATCCAAAAACTATTTAAAAATGAGCAATATTATTTATTATCGTGATGATGAAATATTTGTCATGTGACAGTCTATTATCCCTCACATTTCTCTCTCTCTATCCTTCCTCCACATCTCTCATCAAAATCGAACTTTTTAATCTCATTATTTTACATAAATTATCACATTATCGATATTATATTATTATAATGATAAATAACGTCTTTATTTATGAATAAAAATAGAAGGTAAGAAACTTTCGTGGACTTCCTCATTTCAGAGTTGCCGACGGGCGACGGCCCATATAAATTTACTCGCCCAACAGACAATACCCAAATCCAAAAGAAACCCGAGAAAAATATGCCGTGATTGACTAGGTTAAGTGGACCCACTCTAATTTCAAATCAAATCCACAAGATTCCGAAACACACCCCACACAAACGAGAGCAGACGCGTCAAGGAAACCAATACACAATTTCTGAGACATCAACATTGGGCCCCACTATTCCCACGTCACATCACCCAAAAAAATCTCTTCATTTCCCCCACTATATAATCGACCCATTTTCTTTCCAATCCTCGACCAGCTGTGAATTGTCATTTGAATAAAATATATATTGTATAGTTTTACGTAATTCTGCTATTTCGATGGAAGAAGTGAAGATTAAGAAGAGAGGACGAGATGGGTCGGAGGAGACTGACCCAGTGAGTGATTTGCCGGAGGTTAAGAGGCTGAAGGAGGATTTATTGGACAGTTTGGGTGATGATGAATCTGAATTGTGCACAACGAGTCAGGATCTTGACTCGTTCATGAAGAGTTTCGAGGAGGAAATTATGGGTTCGCATTCACCGACGGAGGATTTCAAGCCGGGTTCTGAAGAGTCTCAACCGGATCTGGGGTATTTGTTGGAGGCTTCGGATGACGAGCTTGGGCTTCCTCCGTCAACGGCGTCTCCGACGGGTGTATTGAGTGAAGGGAAGACCGAGTTTGTCCGAGTCGACTCTGACTCGTCCGAAATTGGTGGTGAGTTGTGGGAGTTTCCGAGTTATGACTCATATGAGTTTGGTATCGGCGAAACAGAGAACTATAATAACAGTAACGGTGAATATGTGGCCCTAGACGGATTGTTTGACTATTCGGATCTGGGTTTCGGGTTGAATGATTTTGAATGGCAACCCAAATTGCCGGCCCAATAGAATTAATATATTTTTAGAATATTGTAAAGGTTTATTTATTTTTTTAATTAAAACTGAAAATCAATGTGAAAAGTATAAAACATGCCTTGTGCAATTGTGCCAATGGTCTCAAGTTTATTATTCTTAGTGAAGCCATAATCAATATGATTAAGCTTTGATGTAAAGTAACTCGTAAATTTTACTATGATGTTCGTCTATTATATTATCACGACTCGTGCCAAGAAGTTCAAATTTTAGAGATGCATTTAAATGGTGTAGATATTGTTTTGTCTTTATCGATGGTGGATAAAAAAAAGTACAATTTATCTTGTTTCATTTGAACAAGACGAGGTAATTTGTCATCTCTGGAAAAAAAAAAAAAGGATGGTGTGAAGCTTTAAATGTCATAGAACACTTGGTACACAATGTCATATACATATTGTTATTAACATAATGCCATATGTTTATGTACTTTAATCTTATATCGTTAACCTATCGAATATGTCATTAATGTGTAATATTCATGCAATCTTAGAAGCTCAATTAATTAATTGCTAATAAATGCAATAGCCTCTGAATCCTTACATAACTTATTTCGTCTTGTGTTTTGAATGTTCATTTTGAGATTGTTGAAAACACGTTCTTTTTGTTATTTTGAAAAATTGTTTTCAAAAATAAAAAAAATGAAGTTTTGACTTTATTTTAATTGAAAACAGTGAAAACGACTTTTTTTGGAGTTTTCGTTTTCTTTGTAAATTTTAAACTTGTTTTTGAAAATTCATTTATGAAAATAGATAAATAAACGTGTTTTCAGTGTTTTTGAAAATTGAAAATGGATTGAAAACAGTGAAGAGAACGAGCACTTAACCTTTGGAAAATTTGTTGCCGGTGACTGTGTTGATCATTAAACGGGCCCATCATTTGTTTATTAAGCCCAATTAAGAACTTTGGTGCTCTGGGCCCTTGCCAGGCTCGTCAATCACATGAAATTTTTAAGTGCAAATAGTGGGATGAATCGGTTTGTGATACCCTTAATAAAATGTGCAGGTACAGGAGCATCTCCAATGTAAATATGTAATTATAGGTAGCAAAAGTGGACGGAGATGAAAATTTTATTCTTCAGTACAAGCTGATAAGAATTCCTTCAATTAACGTGCAAAAGAAAAAAAAGAAGAAATACTTAGACTCTGTTTGGTACACATTATTTTTTCATTCTCATTCCTCTACTCATTTTCAATTTCACATTCTTCAATAGAATAATATTTTTCATCACATCAATAACTTTTCCTTCATTTTTAACCACACATTCTCCATCAATCTACTATTCAATAATACATTCTTTCAACAGAATGTATTCCAAACACACTCTTAAATAGAAATCCATAAAATAGATTGGAGACGAGGATAGACTTAGTGTCTATTTATCAGAACATCTTCAATGCATTCAGTAGATTGCAATCTATACAGTATTTATGGCTTTTTTGTGAGATTTTTTTTTGAAAATCATTTTCAACCACAAACTATTAAAAATAAAATAAAATAATAATAATAATAAATTTTCACATGAACCAATATTTTTTCCTACTTTTTAACCATATATATCCAAAAATATCATTTTTTTTCCAAGAAAAATTTATCCAAACAACACTTAAATAGACCGATTTCCAGTCGATATGAGATTAATGTATAATTAGTAAAGAATTAATCTTCAATGACAATGAGTTCCTTCTATATTCCAATATTTTCGTCTACATGTCTTTTATAATTACATTAGAATATAATGGAAGAAAGAAAATCTATATTTTTAAAACGTAAACATAATTAATTAAATTGTCGAGTTAACATATGTAACAGAGCATCTACATCTAGACATTGTTTATTTATTTTTATTTTTTTGTCACCATGCCAATTTGAAGGAATCTTTGTTAGCTTGCATTTGAATTTTTTGAAAAATAATATAGTCTATTTTTGCTTATGTGACAATTTTTTTAAAGCAATTCACGTTGCATTTGAGATGTTTTTGTACATTTATGACAAGTAGACCATAAATCTTTCAAATCCCGTATGCACATAGATAATAATTCACAGAATGCATTGAAGATGCACAAATTAAATTTACGTATAAAATTCACTGTCCTCAATTTATACTCTACAAATTATTTTTAAAAAAAATTAATCCTTATTTTTAATTTTTACCCTTCTTTCCAAATGAAACTCCATTCCATTCCAGGTTACCATCCTAGTAAAGTTTCATTCTTACTACTTAGGCCTTGATATTTTTTCCTTTTTTTTTAAAAAAAAATAATCCTTTTGATCATGGCCAGATATTTAAAAGATCGAGTGATAGAATTTGGACACACACTAGCATTGATTTGTTGGCTTAAAAAAAGTATCGATTTAGCATAAATTAGGCTTCATGCTTAGTCCCTATTTGGTAGATTTTTTTTAGAATAAATTTTATGAAAAGTAATTTTCTAAAGAATATATGGTTAAAAAGTAGGAAAAGTTGTGTTCACATACAAATTATTTAACTTCAAAAATGTGGAGTTTAAAATGAGTTTAAAAAATATATAAAAAAATGGAGACCAAACATGAGCTTTATATTTTTCCCAAAATGAAATTTATGAGTATTTTTTAAATAATTGACTTTTTAATAAAAAAATGAATTTGAAATAATAGATATCAATTATTGGAATTAAATGTTTCATTAGTTACCGAATTTATATATTCGTCATGCTTTACACATTAAACTTTAAAATACTTTTGAGTGATCACTAAATTTCAACACGTTATACTCTATCACTCACCAATGTTCATAAGTCATTGAACTTATATCTCTTTTACGCTTCACTTATTGAACTATAAAATACTTTTGAGTGATTATTGAACTTTATAACTTTTTGAGCAAGGCTAATTTTTATATGAGATTCGATCTAGATTAAGAAAATAAAATATAATAAATATCGATTAGATAATGAAATTTTCAATTTAAGATGAGAATATTGACATTGATCAAGAATATATAGTTTCTCTAGTCATCAAATGCTATGATCAAGGAGAAAGAAGAATACTAGTTTCGAATTGACATAAATTTAATTTAGATCATACTCTTCATTTATGTCGAGAAAATAAAATAGAGAACATGTTTCTTTATTTTGATTGATATCGTAGAATCAAATAATGAAAATAAAAAAATTATATCTCAAACGAGCAGTGAAATTCTCTATTTAGAGTCATTAATATTAATCAAGACTAATAAATTATAAATTCAGAGTTGTCACGATGTAATTCAAGAGGAAAGGAGGGCGCTGTCTTCGAATATGGTATTTTATACTTCAAAATTTTTAATTTTTAAACAGATGGATTCAGTGAGTAAAGTTTACTGACTACTCGAAAATATTTTAAAGTTCAGCGAGTAAAGTATGACGGATGTATAAGTTTTGTGAGTGATAAAATATGGTGAGCGAGCGATGAAGTACAATATATTAAATTTCAGCGACCACTCGGAAGATTTTTAAAGTTTAATGACTAATGAAACATCCCGAATGAGTGATGAATTGCAACGTGTTAAATTTTAGTGACCATTGTGAAGTATTTTAAAGTTTAGTGAGTAAAGCGTGACAAAGATATAAGTTGAAATGTTTAGCTCTTAATTATTGTGATAGTTAAGATACATTTATGATTATGGTGACAATATGCAATAATATCAAAGAGTGCGACTTGGGATGTATAAACTATTTTTAATAAAAAAATTCTAGGCGTATGGATCATTATTCCTCTTCTGTAAATAAGTGTAGGAAAAATTATACGAGTTTCCTAGATTTTTATTTCGATAACAAGGTGATATAAATTTTCTTTCAAAAATCAGTTTCCACACTCACCCCACCTAATTTTAAAACCTTAACCTTAACCCTAACCCCATTTTCCACCCCCACAGTCCTATATCCCCACGAACATTGGCTCCCAATGCCAACCACCATATTTCACTGTAATGATCCAGCCTTTGTGTCCAACCTGTTAACTTACGCATTGATCGATATGGGAGAGTCTAGCTCATCTTACCCTCACGACTTTCTATCACATCCCAAAAATTTGAATTTAAGACATTTGATTTATGAGATATTTAAGTTGAATCATAATATTATAACGTCCCGACATCTGTGTTCATTTCATTAACTTACGTATTATCCACCGCAGAAAAGCGTAGAAATGCTCATTTTTTGAAATGACCAGTCTCTATCCCTAAGTCGTTCATTTTACGTATTGTCCGCTATGGAAGAACTTTGAAATGTGTAGTTTTTATAACGACCTGGACTATGTATCCAAATCGTTAACTTACACACCGTTCGTTACGGGAAAGCCTAGCCCATCTTCTTACCCTTGATGATTTCCTATCGTGTCATTAGGATTCGAATCCAAGACATCTATTTTATGAAAGGTTTAAGTTGAGTTCTGGTATCAATTGGACAATTGCCCTGAGGGGTAAGATGGAGATGCAATAAAAGGTCTTGATGTGTAATATAGGCTAGGTTCTCTCATAACGGATAATACGTAAGTTAATAACTTGGGCATAGAGGTCGAATTGTTACATCCACCACTCATCAATGAAAATTACCTTCCAAACACAACCCCACCATTGCTTGACCCCACAACACCATGTGAGCCCAAAATATGCAAGAAAAACTTCGAAAGTCGCAAATTGCAAATCCCAGAAATCCTAAATTTGACACCTTTGATAGGACCCAACATTATGGACCTACGCCCATGGTGTCGCCACCCTATTACGCCACTACTCTAGAAATGAATTTTCATCAATAGCACTAGAAAATACTTTTGATTGTGTTGATTTAGTAGCGCTCCTATTTCTCTCTATCGTGTCGTCGTTGTCAATCAACTGAACATGACGACGATCTATTATAAGGATGGACAAAACTCACAAATTAAACTTGAATCGGTTCGGTTCTTCTTAGGTTAAATATCCGAATGGGTATCAAAATCGAGAACCAACAGGTTTAGTTCGA